AACTTCATTGGCAGTCATTGCCTCTTCCTAAAAAGCAAGACAGAATTGATGGACTACTTTCACTTCAGAACAGGGTCTGATAATGAAAGAACATAAGAGCGGATTTTGTAYGACTGTGCAACGGCATGGATCACAACACGGACACAGCATATTTTAGGGTCTATGAACACCACCATATTGGGGACTACAACTACCATCATGCTTTGCTCCACAAAATGGCCAAGTGCTGCACATTGTCTGCTGAATCCTGGTCCTTTACATACAATTCATTATCAAGCTTTCTGTCGCCATAATAAGATGGACGTATAAAATATAATACTTTATAATATTTGCATAAATTTAGAAATTGTACCTTTGATTTTGGAGGCAAAGCAGTGATGCTCAGCATGTGAGATGACAATGGTAATAGATTGAGTTGGTCGTCGATGACCAAGCACTTCTTACAGGAYGTTAATGACAGGAGAAACCTATAATTCCAGGAAGAACAACAAAAGGTTGAAGACACAWGTATGGGAAGAGGGTTGTCAATAAACCTTTTTCTCATTCAAAGTGAGTGACTGCTGTTTTAGAAGTCAACAAAGACTCACTTTATACAGACTCAGAGTCTCACGTAGAGAACATAAGAAAGCACTGAAAAATGTTGACATCACAATAGCTCTTCTCCTATTCGAGGCTAACCGTGTATTTCCACAAGATCTTGAGCTTGAGCCTCCTGGGAATACAGGCTTAGCCTCAAATATGGAGAAAATGCAGATTCGTAGGGCTATTTAGTCTCTTTCAACAGCTGCGACTTCTGGTCTCGTCAAATTACCTCCCCAGAAGAGAGGAAATTTGACGAGACCAGAAGTCGCGGCTGTTGAAAGAGACTAAGGGCTATTGTAATGACAATATTTTTTCATGCTTTCGTTGTTTTTGGTAATTAAGGTCTCTGCGCATGAGAGACTGTTGTCAACTTTTGTAAGTACAATTGGAATAACAACTGAGTGGCTTAATTCATTGACTGTTTGTTATCTGACCTTTCATTAAACCTTCCAACAACATTCTGATGAGCTTCCGTTCTGTATCTGGTATGTACATCCTAAATGCAAAATACAACACTAATGATGTTATTTTATACATGTAATTTGATGAAATTATTTGCAGTTTCCTTGTTAATACCTAGCTGCAGAAGGCTTCATTTGCTAGAACAGTTATCTGACTGGGTTGTTCAAAGCTTGATTGGCATTAATCCTGTGTTAACTCGAAAAGCCTATGAAGTAACCCCTGGTTTATTGCTAATCAAGCTCTGAAAAACCCAGCCCTAAAAAGTACACRATAACAACAAAATTATCACCTACCATTGACATAGTGTAAAGTTGTTTCAAAGAYGACATTGTTCGAAGGAGAATCACGACAATTCCTCCTCCTTCAACAGTTTCAATAGTACGAGCCAAAAGGTTTGGTGTAATGGCCTCAAAGTCCTTCAAAAGAAAAGGGAAAATGTGTGKTAAGTGTGCTAGAACTACAAAAAATTTGCAAGGTTGTCAGAGCTGGTAATGTTTGACTCTATCTGTTGGTAAATATTTTGGTGAATTTGCACAATTTGTTGGCTAGTCTGAGGCACCACAAAAATACAATATGCAATTTAAATTTGGGTTTGCATGTTTCTTCCTAAGGATTACTTTCCATTTAAATGTTGATGTTTTTCTTTACTGGCTATGATGAGTGTACAGTGAGCCAAAAATATTGAACTTGTATGTTCTACAGTACAAGGGTCTTGCGTGTACTTGACTAGTGACCATGACGACTTCACGCCAATCTAAGTGTGTCATCATAAATTAACGACTTACCCCCTGCAAACCGGTTCTTCCAGCAGTTTGCGGGGTGTGTTTATTTTAATCACTATCCGTTTGAGCTCGTTTCTTCATCATTAAGCATGCACTGACCTTATAATAGAACTGTTCACAATGACACGATTAGATCGGCGCGAAGTCAAATACAATTTTGTACCGAGGAGTTTAATTAATTGAATATCATTTTTATCTCAAAGCCAACCTGAAGTACACACATTCCATATGTGTTCCCAAGTATTTTATGTGTTTCATTGTAATAACAATAACGGATATTTGTTGCTGAGATRAAAAGCTCAAAGGGGTCATCATTTTTCACGTCAAGAGTACCACTCTTGATTTTCTTTTGTAACTGTTTCATTCGCTTCTTTCTATGACTGAACAAATAATTATTAATCAATAATTAATCAATAATAAACAATAAATGATTATATGCAATGTTATAAAAAAAACAATGTTTATCCAATATAAATAAGATTTTTACCTGCTAAATCCTAACTCTTTTTTGTAGCACCAAAGCACAGATGGCCGTGCTCTKACGGCGGCTTTGGACAACATGTGATGTAGAATAACAACCTGTCAGGGGAGGGGAGGGGAGGGTGAATAACACAAATGACATTTCAATGATACTGCATTTGACTTAAGAACTTCAAAACCTTCTTTAAATATTTTTAAGTTGAGTTCCTATCCAAACACTAGTTTCCTCAGGCAAAGTGGAGATCGTGCATTAAAAAACTAGCTAGATGTGGGATTTTCAACAGAGTTTTGGTTAGTTTCTATTTATACACAACTTCTTCAATGAATCAATGGAAATACAACAGCTAGCAAACCATTTTCGACAACAACAACACGGCGAAAAAACGTCACCCAAAACATCATTTCGACATAATCGGATCAATAAAAGTACCTGATCTTTCCCTTTATCACCGACAATGACAAACARCGACCTGTGTTTMGTTTGTACGCCATTTTCTATGAGAATTCTGATGCGATTATCAACTTTCTTCAAAACCATGTTGACTTTCTTGCTGCACGTGGTGATAAACGCTGACCAAATTATTAGGGCAATGCGGGCTTATCATGTTATTAGTCTCTCACGGTTAAGGTTACTACAGGGAGCCCAAAAAATGTCAGAATTTACTGAAACCTCCTGAAAAATGACAAAATTTAGAAGATAAAAATAAAGAAAATTAATACAATAAAATGGAAAGAAAAAAGTTATAAGGAGAAAGGGGTTGATGTAGGATTCTGTGACACTTTGGAATGACAAATGTTATTTTTGGAGGGATTACCACAGGGAGTCCACGAAGACGTCACTATTCCTGTTTTTGTTGTGAAGCTAGACCGGTTTGGTGGTACAGTGACGCACTTTCCTTTGAAAGTTGCTTTCAATCGATCTTCTTGATCAAACCACTGTCAAGGGACTCAGGAATTACAATCATTCACCATCCAAGGGAAATAATTGCTTCAAATTTCTGTTCAAGGTATATAAGAAACTTTTAATTGCATATTTTCATACCTTACTTTAGTTTAATTATTGGATGCGCAATGATCGCGTGTTTCCAACCTTGTTTTTAAATATAAGCTATCCTGGCGGTTCTGTTAGCGATAGATTTTCGTCTAGGCTTCTTTGTTAATGCTAAATCTTTGGAGTATACTCTTTCGAGTATTTCGAACTTTAATTCAATTGTGTGATAAGTTAGCTTATGCTTTTTTAAAGACGTCGACGCTGTCTGTCGTGTCTGTCACATGTAAAACACGAGGAATTTATCTTTTTAAAGATGAGAGATTGCAAGCTTGCTCTATATGTGTTTGATGTCATGTTTTACGTTAAATATCTGTTTAAAATTATCTAAAATTTTAGTTTACCATTGGAAATTTTGGCGCGAAGTTTGTTTCGGCATTCATGAAATATTTAAGTAAGCTTACGTTGTTTGCATGCTTTGTTTTTAATGCCAGGGAATAATTACTCCAGTTTTAAATCTCTTTTACGTTTGCTTACACTATCATTATCGTTCAATAATTCGTTTGGCATCGTTTTCAATTCTCTTAAGGTAAAACAACAACAACGCGTTTTGGGCGATTCAGATGACATTGACCTTTCGCTTTCCAAGCATCGGCAAATCCTCGCATAACGCTTTGTATGTAAGAATTTTCTTCTTCTTTRTACACAGAGTCTTTGCATTATAATAGAATATTTGCTGAATAAAAGAATGTTATAACATGCTGCCCGAGGCCTAAGCTGCGAGAATAAGTTCTCAAAACTGGAGTATACAGTGCAAACATTTRCCAATCCCCCTGCAGAGCTGAAATTCAGTCAAAAGATTATTTTTCTTCCCCATTCCCTATCAGCCTTTATTGAGGGGGACGCGTGTGTATTTGAATCATTAGAGGATCCAGCCATTTTGATTGTAGATTTTTGGAGTTGAACAATTAAAGCAACTTGCAAAAACTAAAATTTTCTCAAGGTATTTGTATGTGTGTAATAGTTAAAATAGATGCAAATGACATGCTCTCTTTTCTTTTAGTGTAAGCATTTAGTATATCAAAGATCCAACTGCCATTGTAATGTCCATCGCAAGAATAGGACGTTCCATTGCATGTGCCTGTTCCTCTTGCGGTAGTAACGCCATTAGAACAATCACATCAACTTTTGTACCGCATAAAAACGTCACTCCTGAACAAAGTGGATTCCAAGGTAAAGAGGGCATACTTGGGATCATCTGTGCCTTTGCAGTCCAGCTATACGAAGTATTTTTGATATATAACGCGCGCTTTGATTGGCTGACGACCATGTTTATATCAGAGGACAGAGACACGGCTTACCGGCAAAATTTGCTTTTCGCTCGAAAGATTTTATAAAAGAAATATAAAACGRCCGCTTGTGTCTCTGTCCTCTGATATAAACACGGTGGGAGTTGAAAAACACTCGAGAAGCAAGAGAAACGCTTGCTACGCTCGTGTTCCTAAGCTTGCTTCTCTCGTGTTTTTCGAACTCGCTACGCTCGTGTTCCTAAGCTTGCTTCTCTCGTGTTTTTCGAACTCCCACCGTGTTTATATCAGAGGACAGAGACACGCGCACCGTTTTATATTTCCTAATCTTAGCACATGTAGATTTATTTACTARCCCATATTTTCCAACAAACAGGGCTTTCCTCAGGGTTTCTTTATGATGATAAACATGGATTTGGATACAACAAGGACGGTGACTTGGTGATTGTCACCCCACATGCAACCACTTTCACCAAAGGTACACTTATTTCCCAACCCTCCCCTCCCTAACACTAAATTCCAGACTCAGAGATCTAGGAAAGAAACCTAGCAATTGAAGTAATTGGTGGGACACACAGAACTGCWAAATCTATGTAATTCCCACAATCTAGGGAAAATTTGGCAATTGAAATATCTTTATTCTTGATGTATTCTTGCATTCATGTGTAACCTTCCTCTATTTCACTTTTCTTTTGATTTGGGATTCCTGTGTTGTAATGAAAAGATGCTATTGGAAGGGGGCGCTCACAAAACAGGGAGCCCAAAAAAGGAAAAAGGCAAAAATTCTATATCTGTTGGTGTTTTCGACATTCTGCTCACTGAAACCAAGTGAACATTAAAGTCTTAGACAGAATGGCACTAGTAACTGACAGTGTGCATCTTTCTTAATTGTTTAGCCACCACAGGCTATGCATCCGATGTAGAAACAGAAGCTTTACTGCAAGCCACAAAGGAATCTTACGCTAACATTAAAGAGCCAGTCAATGACTTTAGAGTCCCCTTGAGTGACAGCTTGTCAGATGACGAGACAGAATATTTCTTAAATGCAGCCAAGAATTCCTACCCTACTAGAAACAATGGCAACAAGACAAAATGAATATTATGTCAACTAAAGTTTGCAAAATAATATGTATAAATTTGTAAATAAGCTTCTTTTGATTTTGTATGTCTGTTTTTGAAATTAACTATATGATAAAATAATCAGAATTAATTTGTATTGACTAGATTAACATTGAATTATTTATGATATAATTATATGCTTGTAATCGTAGTGAATCAGGTAGAGTACTTGAATTACTAAAAGCATGAAAAACTAGTAATACTATTTAATGGTATAATTCTTTTGTTCGACTAACAGTATTTTGCAAAAATAAATTTAGTAATAATTAGTGTTTTTCGCTTTTACTGAAAGAACTCTATTAACTTTACATTCTTTATTTAAGGGCTTTAAAATAATTATGAATGCATGGTAGAATACTAAAGACAGAAATTCTTCAATTATAATCATTATGCCGCAAATAAAAGAATTTCATTTTTTGTTTTGTGAAAAAAATTATATATGAGATTTTTCAAGCTTTTTGCATATTTCCCCCCCCCCTCCCCCAATACAACAAAAAATCTATTCTCCCTAGTCCCTTTATCCTCTTCTTCTATATGCCTATTAGCACTACAGATCTATATTATACATGAACTAGTTAAACAGCAAAACATTGCAGATTCCAGGTAAAGGTGCTACTAGGGTGACATGGCTAGCTATTCCCCATTTTAGGTTTTAAAAAACTTAGAAATTGGATCAAAATTATAGAGCAAACGCAGGAAAAACATGAAATATAATCAAACTAAATACTAACAAATAGCGGCTATTTAGAGACAATTTGTATCAGTATCAATCAACCAGAACACGATGAAGATGAATCCACATGGGACCATTTTTCATTCATCTTTATTGCATTCTGGTTCACTGATACTTAAGCTTACAATTTGTTTCTAAAAAGCCACTATTTGTTAGTACTATAGTTTGATTTTATTTCATGGTTTTCCTGCGTTTGCTCTATAAATAAAATATTCAATTAAATTTCAATGGAATTAATTTATTCAGATTAAAACACTAAAGCAGCGTCCATATGAAAAATTAATTCATTTTCGCAGCCCTAAATCTACCATGTGCATGCAAGTTTTTTTTCTTGAATTATTAGCTACTCTCTCATTTACTGTTTTCTTGGCCTGTCACTGACCACTGATTTGTTTGGATAAAAACACGAACGAGCAAAAAGGTGAACTTGGAATCTGAGATAATAATTTACCAAAGCCATTAAAACATTAGATACAGTAAAAACCCGCGCGCGTATTTATAAACACCGTTTTTGCCGGATCAGGCTGATTTGGTTCTTATATAAAGGGTTATAATCTGCAAAATCAGCCTGTAAGTGTTCTTAAAAAAATTCTTAAAATAAGGAACATACTAGGCTACCAATAGATGAAATCAATATAATATATGATACACAATTTTAATTAATTAATACAATGATTATTTTGTTTAATATTTTGTTATAATTGGGGTGAAACTATTATGGTGCAATGAAAAGTAGTCGTTGATCTTTGATATTTTTCCATATGAGAACAACTTTCATTTTCAGGCTGAATGTGTTCTTATATAAATGGYACTTTATTTCCTAAAATCAGGCCTGGGCGTTCTTAATCCACTTGTTCTTATACGAGGGTTTTTACTGTAGTCCAATATGAGTTTTCTCGATGTGAATCCAAACTAATAATCGGGCGATTTTACAGGCAATCGCCTTTTTCCACAAAACAAATTTGAAACACTCTTCCCCTTCAGGCCCGGAGTGCGATACAAATGGGGGTGGAGGGTTGTTTTTATATATATATATATATAGAAGACCTAAATTAATGTTTTTACATAATTATTAGTTCCACGTACAGTATAGTGTGTAAGAACTGACTGCAAGTATGAGTAGTTCATACAAATTGTATATACTACCAAAACCACAGTTCATATCAAAAGAAATTTAAAATAGGATAAAACAAAAACCAGAAACACCGGACCTTAATAAGCTTGTGGGGAGGCTCGTCCACAATGTGAAGACATACAAAATGCAGCCTTCCCTGATCGTGTCATGCTTATTTTAAAATCATTTTGTGCGCGCCTCTAAGGAAAAAAAATATTATTTTTTGATGAAATAATACGAATTATGATGAGTTTGTTTATTCCTTACATATTGACCTCCCCCCCCCCCCCCCCCCCCCCCCCCCCCCCCACGTCCTTCCCTTAAAATTTTTGCTTCCGCCTTTGTACCCCCAACTGCTAGCTTCCAATAACACAGTATCTATAAAAGTTGTTATCTTCATCTTGGCATTGTTTCCCTACCAAGTATGAGTTTGAACGGGAATTTTCATGAAAAGCCACTCTCACCGTTTGACTAGAGCTTAATTTATCAGACGAGACGGAACTAAGCTACTGATATTGTCTGATTGATCAATAGCGACATACAGCATTTCATCCAGGCTAAGGACATTCAAGACGAAACTCATTTTCACTCATTCAAGGTAAACTTTTTTGGTACTGAAACATAATATAGGCAAGCGAGCGAGGTACTTTCCTCAGTAACTCAGCGAATTTCACGTAATGTTATGTTTATATAGCAACAAGCGGATTTTCTTTAAGTTGTAATATATGATTTTTTTATAGAACAAATGTTTTACGTTTTACACCGATTCTTTGTCATTGCATCGGTAAAAATTTTCATCTGATTACGCTATTATTATTAAGTCGACAATCATTCTTAAATAAATCAGTGCATACCACTTTATATTTCTTAAAACTGACACCTAAATTAATATTTTCTATAAAGGCGTCTCAATAATGAGTAATCAACTGTGCCTTAGCTTAGTTTGCTGGAAATCATTAGATGCGAGAACAGGAATAATGTAAACCGACTTGGCTGTGAATATTTTTCATATACGCTAAGACAAGTGAAGTTGATAAATTCACCATGGAAAAGTAGAGAAGAAGAAGACAAAGCTGACAATTATTCACAACGAAATTTGTTTTGTTGTTATGTGGAAAGTAAATTTGTTTATCACAATATACATTAAATACATACACACAACAGATTACAAAATGCTCAATACACACACACACACACACAAAAATAAATATATGTAATGTTTAAAGTCCGACAATGAGGATTGGACGGGATTTCAAGTCCGCGTAATTAGTTCCAGTCCGAGGGGTTATCTGTTGTTATGTCCCAGCCAGCTGTAAGTCACAACTGGTGTTGCCAGCGAGAAATATAGGAAGAAAGAACTCTCCAGGCAAGGAATACTTCCATATACTTCCAGGCTCGTATGCTCCTCCTGAAACAATCCAACAATCACGACTAATGCATCAAAAGTCAAAATCAATTGCATATTGAAATATCAAAGCAAGACTGATTATATATTCTACCCGAAACAACTGAAATAATGTGTGATTTTTTTGTATACGGCAGTTGTAGATGCAAAACATCAAAAGTCGGAGCCAGAGAATCACAGAGTCAATTGAAATCCCGCCCAGGGAGGGCAGGGGAAATTAACCTTTTATTGCTAGGATTTAACATTGTTGACAGTCAGCCTGCTGGGGAGGGGGTTAATTGTTGAATTTACGTCCAAACAAAGGGGAATGATATGAATGATACATATAGCCACCTTTTTTGGCTTCTACGAGTCGGCACTGAACTCCAAGAATGTTAATTCCCCTGGGGTCGGGAGAGGCAGTTGGACCGTGATTTCAACTGACTAATGTATTATCCTGTGATGTAAGTCTCGTTATATAAAAAAATATTTTTTGTCGGCTTTTTCTTCGTTGTCTAGCAGTTGAAGTTGTTGGATCATGATTTGGACATCACTGGCGCTGTTGTTTCTCGCTAGTTCTGGAGATGCGTGGAGGTCGGACTATATTCGGTCCATTCATCCACGCTCAAAAACCCATTGGGGCTCGTGGGGAACCATTGATTGGTGTCCATTCGGGTATTATGCCTACGGATTCAGATTAAAAGTAGAATCGTTCCAGGGCGGCTATAAAGATGACACTGCCCTCAATGGAATTATTTTGCACT